CCCCCATAGATCCTTCATGCGTAATTTCTTAGCATGAGGTTGAGCAATCAAGGTTCCGGATCTCCTGATCCAGTAAGCAACGGAGTTTAACGGTTTTGGTTTCCCTTTTTCTCGCTTGTTAAATCTAACATAACGATGGGTTGAGGTCTCTTGTCTTGCGACGTTTACGAGGTGGTTGGCCACGGACGAGGTTAACGATGCTAAATAAATCATCAGAGTCTAGTTGAGCAGCTTTCTAGGCAATCATCTAATTTCCGTAGTGTTCATCAGTTGCAAACAATTTTTTTTACTAGTTAGTGAATATCTTCATCACTTTGGTATGAGAAATCGGAACATGGTTCCGTTGAGTCATCATCCTGGCCTAATCCTCAGATAGAGATTTCTCCATCCAAGTGATTGAAATGATAGAGGAGTTGTCCTCTTGTCAGAGTTTTCTGATTTGCGCTTGGCAACATGGTTGCGAAGTTTGCAGTGGTTGCACGAGTATCGTCGATCTCGTGTCTTCGTCATTGTCGACGAGAGGAAAATGAGTTTGTCACGCAACTGTTTCTCGAAGTTGCGGAACGCATGCTTTCTTGAGCCATCTTCATGTGAAGGAATAGGTTGAGGTAGCTGAAAGCTATTGTGTTTGTTAACAAAATGCCATACGCTAAAAGCTAGTGTAAAGATCTTTCGAGTGTTTTGAGTTTGAGAGAATGAAGTTATGAGAGAGATTAGAAAGCTATGAAAACTAATCAACGGGAGAGATCATCATCAAGGGATCGTAGATCTTGCTCCCGCGGGAGACTGTATGTGATAGAGTAGGTTGGTTAGTAATCCTACGTATCTCCACGATCCTAAAACGGAACGCGTGGAAGATTCGTCTAGCATGGATCTAGTAGCGTGAAGTACTCCACGCTGGCTAAATATCTAGAGCGATGTTTCATCATCAACCTAGTATGACTAGAGCGGTCATTGAGAACCTGTCTCAGATGACTATTCACGAGAGACTCAGTCATGAGTCGAGCTCAAACCCTATCTAGGATCGAGTCGCGAATAAGGCTAAGAGCCGTGTATTGCACTGAGCGAACCCAACCAGCCCATGCGGCAATTGAGTGTGCCCCTATTCTATTCTATTCTATTCTATTCTATTCTATTCTATTCTATTCTATTAATAATTCTATTATAATTCTATTTTATTTTATTTTATTCTATTCTCTATTCTATTCTCTATCTCTATTGTTAATTCTTGCTTATTCTATTCTATTAATAATTCTATTAATAATTCTATTAATATTTTATATTCTATTCATATTCTATTCTATTCTATTCATAATTCTTTAATATTCTATTAATATTCTATTCAAATTCTTTAACCCATTCATTATACCTTATTCTATTCTATTCTATTCTATTCTCGTTAACCCAATTCTATTCTATCTCTATTTCGTTAACCCTATTCTATTAATCTATTCTATCTATCATTCTACTATTCTACGCTTCTTACCTCTATTCTATTCTTACTTTCGTCTATTCGTTAACCCTATTCTATTCTATATTCTATTTTCTATTCTATATTCTATTCTATTCTATTCTCTCTATTCTCTATTCTCGTTAACCCTATTCTATTCTCTCTATTCTTTAACCCTATTCTATTTATTCAATTTTTCAAATTCATCTTTTTTATTCAATTTGTATTTATTCCCTACGGAGGTTAGCTTAATATCAGGTAAAACTCCGTGCATGCCCCATTTATTTTTCAAATTCATCTTTTTTATTCAATTTGTATTTATTCCCTAGGGAGCATAATCTTTCTATTGTCTAATAATAAAAACATGTGGAATATGTACCCCCTCTACAGTCTGTACGTTCCAGAGACCTTTGTTCCGACACTTGATAGATGTACCTAGCTAGCTAGTAGCTAGAAAGTTCGAACCCCCGATTCCTATTTCATTTAGATACTAATGATTATCAACGACCTCCAAAGCAAACATACCCCCTTCTTGCTGCTTCTCTTCCTCACTTCGTTCCTTGAGACCTAGAATATGTTTTTCAACGCAGTCCTTGTCTTCTGCGGTAACCACATCCAAATTGGCAAGATCGTACAGGATGCATTCCGTCCTGTCAGTTCCACCACCTTGCACCACAAGCCGCCCCACATGACGCCAACGAATATCGCTCGCATTGTACTTAAGCCCTGCCTTACCAAAACGCTCCAGCACTGCTTGTATGCCTGGCAACATTTGGGGTCGTTTCTCCTTCTCCACTGGGGTAAAAACAGGCATAACGACGCATTGTAGACCTTCGAACAACGACACAACATGGACCCTGTTTTTAAGAAAACCATACAATTTGAGAAGCAGTTCTTTCTCTCGTGTCGTTGCCGCGATTGCCTCCTTCTCGAACTCATCTTTGGAAAGCACCCTCTTTGATGTTCTGTCCTCATTCTTCACATAGACCTTGAGTGCCACTTCCTTTCCGTCGCAATTTAGTGCATGGAATACATTACTGGTTGATCCGAAGCCAAGGCGCCCAATGATAAAATAGGGTCCTCGCGCTGTGGCATTGTCGTTGTCACTCTGTGTTCGATTGCTTCGAGAAGAAGCTCTCGCACCACGCTGGTCGTGGATTTTTTCCCCCAATTTGACATTGCTCAATTTTCCCCACGTGTATCCGCCTTTGTCTTCCACTCGAAGCGCCTTATCAAAATTGTACATCTTGCCAGGCTCTAGCTTATAGATTTCAGACTTTTGATCATAAGGTGCGGTCACGTCATAAGCTACGCATATAGCAGCATACAGCACTTTTACAATATCATGAGCCTTGAATGACTGGGACACGGCCAATTTTCGATCCTCAGTCTTGAGTGGCGTAAAGCTCGGTTTTTCGTCAGCCTCAGGTGGGCTATCCGAGACAGTTCTCGCTATTCCGAGTGGTGATTTGAAAGATGGGGGCGACTGAGTTAGGCCTGGCTTGTTTGCTCGGACTGACGAAGGAGAATCTTGCTGGTCCCCAGTAGACGATGACGACGCAGTAGATGATGGAAAACATTGGTCCAACAGATCCTTCGTGTTGCTTTCTGGTGGCCAGCAAACAACAGATTCACTAAAGGTAGAAAGGACACAGGGCACATCCTTCTGTGAGTGGGCCTGGACGACTTGAGCTTGATCGAAAACTTGGCCCAGGACAACGCCATTGTCAGTCAATGAACCATCCCCCGGAATAGGCTTCTTGATTTCGATGGTGAGAATTGGGACCCTATTAAAGGATACAACCAAGATATCTGGTCGACAGGAGAGGAAGCTTCGCTCCATTGATGTTTCGATGCTGTCCTCCCGAAATCTTCCACTGTGGAATTGTTTCAGCAATTCAATGGCGTCTTCTGCTGCGGCCAAAACAATCGCAGCAATGTCTGCTTCGGAGTTGTAGAGGATTTCCCGGAACACCAGTTTATCGTCCGTTGTCTTTTCTGTGTCAACAAACTTTTGAAGCACCCGGGACACTTCGCAGCATTTTCTTACTTTCTGCTGGTCAAACGTCGGAAGATAGATTTTCTTGTTGATTGCTTTCGCTTCGTCGTGACCGCCCACATGCGATTTGTCGTTACCAGTAGAAACCACTTTGAGGTCTCCTTCTTCCACCTTGAAAAGCAGCGATTCCAAGCTTTTGCGACTGTATTTCTTGTTTTTCATTTCCAGTATTGCCTTTTCCTTTTCCAGTACTGCGATCTGACGTCGAAGTTTCTCTAAAGTCTCATCCTCTTCGTTGATCAGTTTCTGGCGTTTTGCTGGAGACTCGGCTCCGCGGCCTTGTTCTTGTGGCCCATCACCTTCTGGGCTGCCCTTACTGCCTCCTTCAGACATTGTGCAAAGTACGTTACTGTGAGGTCGCAGCGATCTTAGTACTTGTATCGATGATGGGGGTGGTGCTGCTGCCGCTGGTGGTTTTATGATGATGATTGGAAAGGAGGTTCGCTGTCGCCGGTTGAAACGTGTGGAAACCAGCGAATAGCGATGCATTGAATATTATCGGAATTCCGCAGTACTGATTTATTTAGTTGCCGGCGCGCGTGCTTCCTAGCCAATTCTTTGGGGTCCACCAAAATAGGGGTAGCGTGCAGGAGGAGAAAAGAAGGAGGGGAGGGGGGGTGACGGACAGACGGGCACCCCTAAGTCTATATCGTGCTTTGGATACCGTTCATCTATATCCTAATGATCGGTTCTATTAAATCTTGGTGCTTTCAATCGTAGCTTCGCACCCTTAAACTGTACTGCCAACTGCATACCTACAGGCACTCGTTTTACTCATGAAATTTCTGCATTCGTGCCTGGAAAATTCCAGTCACCAATCAGTCGCCTAACGCTAGTGGCCGAATTGTAACGCTAACCCTCAGTTGTCTTTGAACGCGCGAAAAAGAAAGCTTTCGACACAAAAACACGCTCAATGACAATGACAACTCAATACGGAGAAGAACAACTTGCGTTCATTAGACATGTACGAGCACAGATTGACAACAACACCAAAGGATTCTTGACAAGGGAGAACTGGAGAGATGTGAGACCAAGCACTGGGAGGTTTGACAGCCAGATAATGGAGAAATCCGCGAAGACAACAACAAAAGCAGGTGACTTCTATATCAAGTGCATTGCTGTTTGGCTCCCCCACATCCTGATTCCTGGATTCACGCCCTACTGTCCGCACTGTAAGAGTAATGAGTATGTGAACTGTGGCAGCGTCAGGTGGATTAACTCTCCAAAAATACTGTATGGCATTGATCGCCACAGATATTTGGACACCAAACTGTACCCATGCCAACAATGTAAGAAGCATTTCGCTGGTTACAACCAGGACTCCATGAAGCTATCTGCGAAAGTACACTATGGGTTCTTTAATTTCTACCTGGGTCACAGATACGCAGTTGAGGAGGAGCTGTATCGCCACATCATCGAGGAGTCAACAACAGAATCGACTGCTGGCATTGCTCGCCGACTTCGGCATTTTGCCTTTGGGGCCTACTACGATGACCACCAACTCTATCTTACAGCAATAGGTGTGAAGAAGATTCGTCCTAGGAAAAAGCAGAAGACATTGAACGGACACTTTGAGCTTCAATCATTGGACCAAGGACTGACCCGTCTTCAACGCAAGAAGGAATTTGCACAGTCTCAGTTACGCCAAGTGGGAATTTGAAGTGACTACAGTACGCAGCCAATACGAAGAAGATGTTGTTTTTGCCGATCTTATAGGCTCGAAGAAGAATCACAATGTGACAGGGGAAAGAAACCTTCTACCTGGCTTAGGTCCTGGCAAACTGAAGACATTAATGAAGAACGATATTGTATCAGCCAAAGCCCTACTTGCTGCAGACACCCTTTCGGTTGACAAGAAGACAGCCAAACTGCTACCTGGCTGGCAAGGCCTTGTGGAAACGTACTACAAAGATTTGAAAGACCGATTGGATGCCCTAGAAGTTAAGCTAGGATTCGCAAAGTCAAATTTGGAGGACACCAAAAGGGCGCTAGACAATCATAAGTCACCACCTGTCAATCCTTACTCCAAGGCCCACAGGAAGCGGCAGAAGCATTTGGCGCAGAAGGAAAATGAAGCAGAGGAGATGCACCTTCCTCACTTCTCGAGATTCGCTGACAAGAAGGGGTATAATGGGAGAGTACTCAGCAAATACCGCATAGATCAGATCGTCAATACCGTCTTCCGTCTTCGAAAGTCATTCCAAGAAGCCAAGATGCGCTCCCTTGTGGGAAGGCTACTGAAGATTGATTTCAATTATAAGGTTGCCGGGAAGATTAGAGTGTGGACGCGACAGGGTCAAAGCTTCTGCCCATTCAAGTGTATTGTTACCATTCAAAATGAAGATGGAATGACAGTTTTCTGGAAGGCGCTGAAGCATTCCGAATCCATGAGTGAGATCCTTGGTGACATGATAAGGCTTCGATTGCGCTTGAACAGGAATCTTCAACTTGAAAAAGGAATCAAGGATGCAGCCAGCTTTATTGGACCAGTGGAAATGGCGGTGAAAGTTGTCTATGTGGACAACTGCTGCAGTGTCAGACGATTGATTCAGTCGGCCTTTTGTGGGGCACTTGTCTTGCTCGATCCATTCCACTAGTTGAAACGTTGGAATGACATGCTTTGCGAACCAAACAAGGAACAAGCTGGAGTTGTCCGTGCCTTGATGAGCCAGGCAATCTTTGTTGTCGAGAAGGAAGAGTATGAATCTACCTTGAAACGGCTGGAAGAGCAGAAAGGAAAGGATAATGTCTCTTCTAAGGAAGTCCTCAAGCACGCTAGAACCATGGTGCCAAGCCCAGAGATATTGCGCTCTAATGTTGAGGCGACGCTTAAGTATTTGCAAGCAAAGGATGCAGAGACTGAACATGTGCTTACTACATGGAGGGATGGTGACACTTCACCAAAGCCGAAGCGATTTTTGAAGAGTGGCAATGATGTACGCGACTGCTGCCGAAAGCAATTCAAACACATCGATTGTGGTTGTCTGTCGGATCCACCAGCAGAATTGGTGGCAATCCATCGAGTTAATGCCAAGGGAAAGTGTGTCTTTGTTGCCCGAGGAACGAACAGCAATGAACAAGACAATCTTGCTGTTTTGAAGATACTGCTGTCTACCTTTCTTGGTAAGTACAATTTTCTAGTGTGGACATCCGCATTGTCTATTCTAACACAATTTACAGGTATTCACAGGGCAGATCGATTGTTAACATCCTTCTTTGAGATGAAGAATCATCGCAAGGCAATCCTGCGCCTTGGAGAAGAGGACTTTGGTACCTATTTCACGGAGACGCTTCTTAACTTGAACTCCTACGCGATATCAGTTGGCTTCAAGGATGTTCCCTATTCGAATGTCTTTGTGCCTTCTGTTGCGAAGGACCTGGCAGCTGAGTATATGGGATTACAGTACAAGATGAAACTTGAAGCGGAAGCTGGAGACGAGACCAAAGAAGATGGTGGTGATGATATAGTGACTGGTTGGCCACTGACGAATTTGAAAGCTTGATCCGCGACGTTTGCGATGATGAGGATATAGAGGTGGTCTTTCCTGATTCGGAATTCAAAGAACACAACAATCGACGGGGCTTAGATAAAAGTGACAGGGAGAGAATCGAGTTAATGGAAAAGGATGACATCTATGCAATCAGCGACAATACCAACCAACCAGCCATTCAAAAAGAATTGGCGAAACTATTGCCCCTATCCAGCAACCGTGAATCAACAATGCAAGCCTTTAAACGGTTGAGCCATTGACATCCCTGGGTTCCCTTTCGATCGCCAGATAGCAGTGTTCCTCCTACCGAAATCGATGAAGAGGAATACCGATTGTTTGCACAATGGGAAAAACACTATAAAGTCGGCAGTACAGGCAACAAGAGCTACCACGCTTTTTCAAATCGCTGGAACAACTATGCTACCTCCAAATTCAAAGACTGGACTAACGGTGTTGTGGTTGTGTTGCCTCGACTGAAAAGCGCTCTCCAGTTACAGGAATATAAGGAGAAGAGAGATCGAATCTTGAGTTTACAGGCCTCTCTTCCACGCAACAACGACAATGACCGAGAAGCACTCAACGAAACAAGAAGAGCGAACCGTCGCCGACTGCCACCAATGCCACAAAATCGACATGTCTCTCCTCCCATTTTCCAGGCACACCCAGGCGGCATTGTCCCCTTTGGCAATCCTTTGGTGTTCAATGCAACCATAGCCATGCATGCTGTGGCTGGCCAAAACCCACCTGTCAACAATAGACTCCAAGCTCCCCATTTGATGGCTCTTCCAAATCTTCCAAGGCAAGCAGCAGCACCAAAGCGCCCTGAAAGGAAAGTATTCAGAAGCAGAAAATACTGCAAGACTTGTGGCTGGGAAAAGAGAGACCATGTCAAAGGTAAAGAGCTGGTAGGAAGGCCACCACAGTGCAAGAGAAGGTATTGTGGTAGATGCTACCTTTTGAGACAACACCACCAGAATGGCGACTTTGGTATTGACTGCATGGGCACCATCCACAAGGACTGCCAAAAGAATGTTGATGGTTGGTGGGAGACCAAAGTAAGTTTGACTGACTGCTACTTGTTACTTTTGGGCTACTGGATTACTTCTTAGATATCAAACACCAACAAAGACTCTTCTTTCTTTCTTTCTTCTCAACCTTCAGAACTAGAAATGGAATCAGGTCCATCCATGTTGGGAGGGTAAGGAACAATTCCCCTTGTCTGAATGTAGGCAATGATGTCACTAACAATATCCTCACTCATCAGTGTCATCACCCTAAAGGAGATTATGGGCATTGGAAATGTCCTGTCAAACCAATCAGACCAGTAAGTTAGCACTGCATCATGGCCAAGAGAGTCATACTCATAAGTTGCATTGGCCCTGCTTCTAACTCTCCAGTAAATGCATTGCTTCCACATCTTCTCCTTGGTTGTAGGCTGATCCTCTTCAAACATGGTGGCTAGCATGTCAAGAACAATACTATACCACTCAATATTATGGTAATATCCCCAACACTCCATGCTATCAAGAATGAAGCTCATATCAGGAGTCATGGGCTTGGCACTTCCACTCATGATGAGTTGTTCAAAGCTGGGAGTGTCAAAGCTACTCACTGCCACACATTTCAAGGACCTGAAACTGGGATGCTGGACCTCTCCTGCTTCCAGCAAAATATACCTGCACTCAAAGCTGTACCTGGTAGCCCTTAACTCATTGTAGGGGTAGAAACTCTTATCTAGCAACCACTTTGAAAAGACTTGACTAGTGTTGATCCTCATAGTTTTGTAGTTGTAATGATAGCTTCAACTGTTGGCTCCCACCAAGGAATTCAAAGACTCGAACCTCCACGGAAACGATATTGTGAGGCGATTTGGAGGAGAGTTCGAAAGAGGTACTTGTGACACGGAGGACGGATCCATATGCCTGCCTGCTTCCCAAGACTGGGTTGACTATACAAAATTCAGTACCAGTTTAC